CAAACGTGGCTATCGTCTCTTCCACGTCCCTAAAGCCATGCATAAGGACTTCCACCCGTTGGGCCCCCAGGGATTAAGAAAATCTCTGAAAGCAATGCCCACACCTGGGCACTCACGAACAAAGCGAATCTGTGTCAGTTGGCTTTCCGAAGTCGTGTGTGATGCATCCCTGAGAAGTTAAGTATACGAAGCCCTAAACCCTCAGCCCTAAACCTAATTACCTCCCGAATCCTATCCTCACTGGCCCAAAACCCGAAGAAATAAAAGTTGAAACTTTCAGAATCGACACTTATAAGAACCCCAAAGGTTGAAAAGTTGAGTCTACAGCCAATAAGACTCAACTGCTGCGTGCCTAAACCCTAACCCTTCGTCTCTAAGGACTCATATAGGGTTCCTTTAAAGGGATCTATATAGGGGTCCTTTAAAGGGATCTATAGGGTTTAGGGTTTAGGGATCTAAGGACTCATATATTAAGGCTTTTGGGCCCAATGACCATACTATATAAGGCTTTTGGGCTAGTTTGAGCCTTAGGGTGAACCTAACTGCTTCCCGAATCCTACTCAACTGCTGTGCACCCAGGCTTTGGCTTTCAGATACTTCGAAACGTGGCCGCAGCTTCTCTTCGTGCAGATAATCTGAGAAGTTAGGGTTGGTCCTCCAGAGCAATCCTACGGTTGAGGCGTAATTAGGTTGAGGGTTTAGGGTTTAGGGGTTTAGGGGTTTAGGGTTTAGGATGGTTTAGGGGTTTAGGGGTTTAGGGTTTGGGGTCAAGGTTTAGCTTAGGCGTTGCAGGTTACATCAAGTCATACCGGCAACAACATCACAAGCACCCTCGAAACTCCCCCGGCATTTCACGCTGCAGACAACACCGAAGAGACCTCCGGTACTGACTTGAAATAGGGGTCGGAAATGTTGACAATGTTGCCCCATTATAGTCCCTATATGTATATATACATACACATACACGTACATGTACACGTACACACACTTTTCTGCATATGCACAGACATATACAAACACAAATATAGATACAGACACGGATATAGATGCAGATACAAATAAAGACATACATACGTACATACATCGCAATATACAACACAGTCTCAGATCCTATTCTAACTGTTCAGGCCTCGAACTAGTGTATTCCCGGGATCCCAGAGTTCAGACTTCACGCTTGAGAAAGCTGTCATAAACTCCTTTCACCATACCTCGAGATGGGAACCTCCTACACAAAGGGCCTCCGAGTCTGCAAGCACGGAACCCATACTCATGCAACATGCCCCTCAAGCCCCAAAACCTGATTTAAACCTTATTCACATCCCCAAACCCTTCCGCAGTCTCTAAAACTCCAAGAACGTCTTAATCATTGATTTTCCCAGCTGCTAAGCTACAAAGCCACGATCCTAAAGCCAAGTATCCAATTATTGCGTCCTTTTAAAATTCTTGCAGAGAGGAGTCCAGATCTGACAGAGAGAAGGCGCTGTGCTGGCCGAGAATTGCTTGGAAGATCGCATGCATGGATTCGCAGGAAGGCAGGCGATACTTGGAGAGTCTTTAGGGGACTTAGTGAGTAGGTAGTAGGTAGACGTATAAGTACCCTAAAAGGGACCCTAATTGGGGTTATGGTGTGTCCTTACCGGTTCATGACATAAATCCCTAGGGTTCCTTTAAAGGGATCTATAGGGGTACCTTTAAGGGCTTCCTTTAAGGGATCTATAGGGTTTAGGGTTGATGATATAAATCCTGCATGACCTTAAGGACCCTGAACCATGGGAACTATGGTACATTCCCTATTATGGGTAATGCAGGATTTACATCATCAACCGTAGCAGGCGATGGCATGGCCTAATGTAGGAGCCTTATCAACTAGAATCGGGTTTGAGGGTATCTTATACTATACTTATAATACGGAACCCCAAAATAGTGTTGGTAATTATTTAGGCCCCTATATCATAGAACCCTACTAAGAATCTCTTATAGACCCCTTTAAGAAACCCTTTAAAAGGAAACCCTAAACTAGTATTAGTAATTATTTTTGGCCCCTCTATTTCAGCCGCCTGCTCTTCAGAGAGCAGATACTGCAATCCTTCATGGCTCTAGCTTGAAGGTTTAGGTATCCGGCTTAGGTTAAGGGTGTTCAGAACTTTTTTGGACTTGTACAAGCTTAGGTCTAATGTATATACTGGGAAGCCAAACGTTCGGGTCTTGGGTACTTAGTAGTGAGATTTTGAGCTTGAGGCTTGAGGGTTTATAAGATACTTGAATGCATATGCGGGTGTGGGAGCTAACCTCAAGCACGAAGACATCTCAGCAACAGCAGCATGGAGGTCGACGTCTTATGGCTGGTCAGTGTCTTGGTGGCTCAACTCCAACTGCAGTTTATGCGCCTGCAGTTGCTTTTGGGTTCAGGCTTCTGAGTACCGCTCACCGGGCGTTCGCCGAAATCTCGTATTTAGTGCTAAGTGACAGGAAACAAACTTGCCATCAGCCATCCTTCGTGATTCGGAAAGCATCTCCAACAGACCTCTCCTTTACTGCAGCCAGGGACACCGAGCCAAAGTGACATGTTCTTCATAGCGTTTGCAAGCGGCGCTTAGAGCTTAGGCTTAGTTCTCTCAAGGAAGCCTGTTTTTCCTATAGCCTGTGTATCCTACATGCTAGAGAGGGCCTTAACACGGAACAGGATTTTGGGATAGGCTATATGTACGGAACCCTAAATACGTACACTTAACCTCTCCACCCGAGACCTGAGTCTGCAACCCTGCACAGTAAAGACCCTACAGTCTTGTACTTTCGTCTCCTGCAGAGAGAGATGGACATGGCCCGCCGGCCCGCATATTACGAAATAATGAGTACACACATGCAGGTGCATAGTGTATATATATATATGTATATGTACACGATTCATCTTCAGACACTTACTTACTTACTTATTTACTTTTTTACTTACTTACATACATACATACATATATATATATATATATATATACCCACACACATTGAATATCATTACACATGCAAGCATACATTAAATATACAAATAGGTATATGCACAGGAAGAGAGAGAGAGAGAGAGAGAGAGAGAGAGAGAGAGAGAGAGAGAGAGAGAGAGAGAGAGAGAGAGAGAGAGAGAGAGAGAGAGAGAGAGAGTGAGAGTGAGAGTGAGAGTGAGAGAGAGAGAGGGAGTATGAGGAGTTAAAGGATGAACCAGGGCTTGGAGTGCGCCGCATGAAGACCACAGTTTGCATTGGTGCATGTGCGTTGACTCTCCAAACCGAGAGGTCTGTCCAAGTGCGCATCAGTGACGCGAGGTGCCATGTTGCACAGCGTGGATTATGAAATTGCATATACTGAGATTGGGGCTTTGGGGTATGGTGCTTGGCGTTAGGGCGTAGTAATATGCAGGGTCACAGGCCAGGTGCGAGACAAAGACAACCAGGCTCGACTCCCCAAGCTTACAACTCCTTTATTTCCAGAACATGAGCTTTGTCTGCTACTTCTCTCGTCGGACAGTGCACATCTGACATATTTGGCGTGTCTGTACCACTAAGCGAAGGACACGAAGCCCCGTGAGAAAGAAGGCCTACCTGCACCCCCAAAGTATGTAGACTAATAGCCTTTAATGGGTATTGGGCCATTATCCTACCTACTCTGACGGGGTTAGGTATTCTGCTTCAGCAGGCTCGGGCTGTGCACCACGGCTCAACGCGTGAGAATTGGACGAACTACACTTTGAAGTTGTTCTCAAAGCCTGTACCTGAGCATCTTGTGCACAGCTTTTGGTGGGTTCTGGGCGAACCATGAAACCCTAAACCCTCAACCTTGAACCTTGAAGCCTAAGCCTTGGAACCTAAACCCCAAACCCGGAGTCCTAAACCATAAACCCTATAAAACCTAAACCCTGAAGCTTAGGGCCTAGGCAGAGCCCGACTCCCGATCCCGGGTACCTGTAGCCGTTATTAACAACGACTCTCACGAGGCTCCCCAACATATGCAGGCGTTGTAATACCTGGTATATAGGGGCTTAAAAGGGAAAAAATATGCGGTATACTGTAGCCCCAAAATGGTCTCGGTAATCATTTAAGCCCCCCCCCAAAGAGGCTGCCCGGGCTTCTGTGGGTTGCACGGATTGAAAGCATCAGGGCTTTAACAACACGAATAGGGTTTAGGGTTTGGGTTATAGAAGTGGGTAGAATCTTCATGTAGCGACCATGACAATTACTTATTCACACATCTACAATTCTCGAGTTCCAGCTGAAGTTGCGAAGCTCTTGGGCTTAATCGAGATAGTGTCGGCTGACATGAACACGTGCATCAGCAAAGGCCCTCGAAAACGTATGCAGATAAGTTGAGTGTGTGCCGTTTCCCATTTTCAAAACTCATGAGATAAGTGGTACTCATGTTCCGACGTGAACAACTTTCTGTGCACGACTGTCTATGTGCATGCATACATACATGGGTGTTTCCGCCAAACTGGCTTCCAAGCAGGCATGTGGGATGTGGGGGGGTATGTTTAGGGGTAAGCTGCATTAAATCACACTGTCTATGGATCTATCTACCTACCCGTCTATCTACCTATCTACCTATCACCTATCTACCTATCCACATATCAGATATGTGTATATATATATATATATATATATATAATTATACACTACGGAGAGTACGTCTGTAATTGCGCAAAGCTTTATTCTCGTCCGCATAAACGAACATACAGGCCCAGACGACGTATTGGGCATCCATCTATGGTTGTGCCGATGCTAGACGAAAATGCTTTCGTATCCGGGCCACAAGCAAACATCAACCTTAAAAGCCTTGTAAACCCCGAACCCTACCCTAATTCCTGAACCCCTAAACCTCCAACTCCGAATATCAAACCCTGAAGCCCTCACCCCAAACCCTGACGGGGAAACAGAAGCTCCTGGCGTTTTATCGCGTGGGCGAAACTCTGAGGGTGCGACGATGTGACGAAACTCTGCCCAAAGAGCAGGGCCAGCGTTTTACGGCGACTCCGACTCCTGCTTCAGGGTTTCGGCGCAGGGTCTGAGATTCTTTTAAGACTTGAGATGCTTTGGGGTTTAGGGTGTTAGGGCTTTAGGGTTTTAGGGTTTGGTCTGAGATTTTTTTAAGACTTGAGATGCTTTAGGGTTTAGGGCTTTAGGGTTTAGGGTTTAGGGTTTTAGGGCTTTAGGCTTTGAGTCGTCTGAGCACAGAAAGGTTCAGCAAATCCGTCATCTTTCCGCCCTCACAACGCCGGCGCATGAAACTCTAAAACATCACCAAGCCCTTAAAACCCTAAACTCATAAGGATCCTGGGGGGGGGGGGGGGGGGGGGGGGTAGGGGACTATACCTCCTTAGTTAGGCCTTATCAGGTATTATAATACCTACAAAAGGCCCCCTACCCCCTCCCCCCTGCCCCCGTAAAGGTCCTTATGATAAACTGAAACCACGAAGGCCCAAAGCCCTCAATTGAGCCCGCGACATAAATTCCTAAACCCCTACAGCCGAAAACCAAAGCCCCCAAGGCGCTAAACCCGCAAGCCCAAAAATAATCCTCAAACCGTACCTAGAGGGTCATACCCTACCCCTTTTTTAGGGTACCTGGTTTCATGGTTAGGTTCTCTTAGATAGAAAAGTAGGTACCTTAAAAAAGGGGTAGGGTATGACCCTATAGGTACAGCCCTCATACCTAAGACAAAATGCTCTCGTACCCACGAACGTTGAAAGTGCTACCCTAAATGCTGAACCGGATTTCGGCAAGAGCTTCATATCCGAAACCCTGAAACTCTCATACACCAAACCCGCAGATCCCTCCGAACTAGAAATCCACAAAACCTCATGCTCTAAAACCTTCCTACCCACCCTAAAACTCTTTTTTCCACAAACCACAAACCCTAGAATCTTCCTGCCCTCAGACCCTGAACCCCATCCCCCAAGCCCCTATACAAGCCCTGTAGAGTGCTTACAGTAACCCTTGTTGTAACCTGTATAAGAGTGAGATATTTCGCCTCAGCGGCTCTGAAAGAGGCCGAACCAGCCCTCAGAAATCGATGCAAAGCCACCAATAACTCGAGGGTATAATGTAGTACGTGGCCTTAATAATTAGCAGACGGTTTTGGGGCCTACTATAATCATAATAAGGAACTTTAGTATAGGTTATAATCATAATAAGGAACTTTAGTATAGGTGATTACTATTAAGGGCCCTATATCAGGTTTTGGGGGTCTTGGTTGGAGCCACCTTCTTCTTCTGACAGGCTTTACGGAGGGTGCCCCCATAGGTTCCGTAGGTTCTTCCCCTGCAGCTCCATGCAGTCATACGGTATGGGTGATCTCGAACGAGGTAGGAGATGAGTAGCAGCAAAACAACCCAAAGTAATTTAGGGGCCTTGATCTTGATGATTAGAATAGGGTTTTAGGGTGTATTTATAACATCATAGAAAGGAACCCCAAGATAGTATTCGTAACTGTTGAGGCTACTATAGTACTGAAGTGGATTTCACATCTCTACATGTCCAACAGTATCTCTGCCGTCTTGGCCACTGCTATTGCAATCGTCCACTACATACACTGCCCTCATCCGCCTATGTCCAAACCCTAAGCTTTCGACCCCCACAACAAAAGTATAAAATCCTCAACACTAAACTATAGCCGAACACCCTGAGCGCGCAAGTTCTAAAACTCTATACCCTGAACCTTAAAACCCTCAACTCTAAACCCTCAACCGTAAAAGCCGTAAAACAACCCTAACCCCAATCCAAGGCGCGAAGCCCTTGAAACCTCTACAGATAACCATGAGGAACCGTTTCAAGGATCCCTTCAAGGAAGCCTTAGAAGAAGCCTTTAAAGGAACCCCCAGGGGCCGAAGCCCGTGAACCCCTGGGTCGATTTCGCCCCGTCCTTCTTCGAGTCTCCTGTCTCCGGATCCGGCGAGCCGGGTCGAGTGTCGTTCAGGCCCATCTCGGCTGTCTCCTGTTTGGGCTCTAGATTTCGGGGTTTAGGAATTCGAGGGTTTATAGGGTTTAGGGTTTAGGCGCTTAGTGGCTTAACACAGGGGTTTAGGAATTTGTGGGTTTAGGGTTCCTGGCTTAATGATTGGTGCATGGTGGAAGGCTTAGGGGTCTTAGGTTCAGTCAAACGGGTCTTAGGTTTGAGGTTTGATGTCTAGGCTTCCGAGTTTCGGCGAGCATCTCCTGGCGAATAACTAGCACCCTAAGGCTCCAGTTACCTGAATCTTGGGATCCTGTGTATGCTTCTTGATTAGCTGCTAACCGCCAATCTACGTACTACGGTTGATGATATAAATCCTGCATTACCCATAATTACGAATATACCATAATTCCCATAGTCTAGGGTCCTTAAGCAAATGCAGGATTTATATCATCAACCGTATGAGGGTGATTAACTCAAAACCTTTAGCATTTTGGTTGTCCCTGAGGCCCCTAATCTCCCGCCATGACGGGATAGAGACCGCAATGGAAAGTGCAGACATGCCGAACGCGAAAATTCCATCGCTAAAAACCGAAGTAAAAGCACACTAGAACCTACACCCTAAACTTAAGTGCGAGAAGCTACCCGAAAAACCACCCACACACTGAATCCTAAACCTTGCACCTCCGAGCGTCAAAGCGCTTCATTAAACATAAAGGTCTACGCAGAATATGTTGCATATGAGTTGAACCGAAAGTCACTAATTACATAGGAACCCGTGTTGCACGGTATTAATCATAGGTATTATAGGGACCTTGATAATTAGAATAGGGTTTTGGGGCCCATGATGCTATAATCATAATGAGAACCCCCCCAAAATAATCTAGATAGATATTACCCAGAGGCTCCATAGTAGTTCCTTTTTCGGATTACCTTATAGGATTATAGGATTCTATATATGAACCCCAAAAAGGAAGTACTATGGAGCCCTAGGGTAAAGCCCCTATGGTACGTGGACCCTGTCAAAACCCACCAGTCGCCTTAGAGAGCCTCAAAGAGCCCTCGGCGAAAGAGCTCCAAAAACCCTAAACCCTGAAACTGGGGATTTCCGAAACACCCCTTTGAGCGCAGTAACTAAGGAGTGAGGTTGAGGGAATTGTGCCGCACTTACCTTTGGCGGCCTATCCCTACATGAAAGGGTGCAGTCAAAGATCGTTGGGGTCGATGGATGTGTCACAACAGTTTGGGATATTTCATACTGATACTAGAAGCCTATGTTATAAGGACATAAGGATATTGAGAAACCCTGGTTTGGAGCTTTTGGGCTGGGCTTATGGTTTAGGGTGTTTAAGGTTAAGCGCTTCTGGGTTCGGGGTTTAGGCTTAGGAGTTTAGGGCTCGGGCGGCTAGGGTTTATGGTTTAGTTTTGGGCTTCTGGCGTCTGGACCTCCTTCCCGTCATACCCAGCTCGGTAATTAAGCCCGGTGGCTTTGCTGCCGCAACCGGGCCGGACCTAGATGACCGAGCTAGCTCGGTAATTAAACACGGCGGCTCTGCTGCCGCAAGCGGGCCGGACCTTAATTACCGAGCTAGCTCGGTAATTAAGCCCGGTGGCTCTGCTGCCGCAACCGGGCCGGACCTTAATTACGGAGCTAGCTCGGTAATTAAGCCCAGTGGCTCTGCTTCCGCAACCGGACCGAACCTTAATTACCGAGCTAGCTCGGTAATTAAGTTTGGTGGCTTTGCTGCCGCAACCGGGCCGGACCTTAATTACCGAGCTAGCTCGGTAATTAAGTTTGGTGGCTTTGCTGCCGCAACCGGGCCGGACCTTAATTACCGAGCTAGCTCAGTAATTAAGCCGGGTGGCTCTGCTGCCGCAACCGGACCGAACCTTAATTACCGAGCTCGGTAATTAAGCCGGGTGGCTCTGCTGCCGGGCCGGACCTCAATTACCGAGCTACCTCGGCAATTAAGCCCGGCGGCCCGACAACCGCCATTGAGTCACTGTTTCTGCTAATTTCCCGAGCCTCCGGGCTTAATTACCGAGCTCCGGGCTTAATTACTGAGCTAGCTCTGTAATTAAGCTTTTTGCAGCGTGAATCGGGCCAGAAAGTAGTGCCGGACCCCTGAATTCAGGGGTTCGGCGCTACTTTGTGGCCCGAATCTTGCTGCAAAAAGCTTAATTACCGAGCTAGCTCGGTAATTAAGCCCGGAGCCCGGTAATTAAGCCCGGAGGCCCGGGAATTAGCAAAACCAGTTGCTCAATGGTAGTTGTCGGGCCGCCGGGCTTAATTACCGAGCTAGCTCGGTAATTAAGGTCCGGCCCGGTTGCGGCAGCAGAGCCAGCCACCCGGCTTAATTACCGAGCTAGCTCGGTAATTAAGGTCCGGCGGCAGCAAAGCCACCGGGCTTAATTACCGAGCTAGCTCGGTAATTAAGGTTCGGTCCGGTTGCGGCAGCAGAGCCAGCCACCCGGCTTAATTACCGAGCTAGCTCGGTAATTAAGGTCCGGCGGCAGCAAAGCCACCGGGCCTGATTACCGAGCTAGCTCGGTAATTAAGGTTCGGTCCGGTTGCGGAAGCAGAGCCACTGGGCTTAAGTACCGAGCTAGGTATGAAGGGAAGGCTAGCCCCAGCAGACTCAGCAGGTTCAGAAGCCAGAAGCCCCAAACGAAACCATAAATCCAAGCCGCCCCCCAAACCCAGAAGCCTTTAACCTTAAACTCCCTAAACCATAAACCCAGCCCAAAAGCCCTACACCAGGGTTTATCGATATCCATATGTCCTTATAGCATAGGCTTGTATTGCAGCTTGTATCAGTACAATACACCCAAAACTGTTGTGACAAATCCGACGCCCCCATCGATATTTGACTGCACCCTAGAATGTAGAGATAAGCCTCCAAATGTAAGTGCGGCGCAATGGCAGCAACCTCGGTCCTTGCTTGCTACGCTCCCGAGAGGGCTTCGGAAGTCTACAGCCAGGATCAGAAACTATGGCAAAACCTAAACTGACCTCGTGTCTAACCGCACCCTACTTTTGCAGGACCTGCTGCCAAAAGCTAGTGCAGCAAAGGTCTTGGGCTTATTCACCTCACCAATCCTTATTCACCGGGGGGTTTCGGAAATCCCCACCTGAAACTTAAACTTTGAACCCTAAAGCCCTAAAACCCTAAACCCTGAAACCTGAACTCTAAACCCTGAAGCCCTAAAACCCTAAACCCTAAAACCTAAAGCCCTAAAACCCTAAAACCTGAACTCTAAACCGTCAAGCCCTAAAGCCCTAAACCACTATAAACCCTAAAGCTGGATACCGCCGAGGCGCCGAAGCAAATGGGATCCCTTTCGGATACTGGCCGAGAAGCGTCATGCCAACAGAATACCTCAGCTAGAGGGTTTAGGCTTTAGGGGTTATGTAAGGTTGAGGGTTTGAAGATTCTAGGGTTGACTAGTTTAGGGTTTAGAGTTTAGGGGTTATGTAACGGGACCCCCCAAGGGCCCTTTAATGGAGTCCTTCGGGCCCTTAGTGGGTGCTTGGGGTATATTAGAGGGCAGTCGGGGGGGTCTAGGTAGGGTTCAGGCTTTAGGGTTCAGGGTTGTTTCGCTCAGGATTCTTGACGTGTCACGCAAAATGAACACTGACATGTTCGGTTCCGAAGACACACCATAGAAAGGATACCGAAACCGCAGAAGTCCCAACAGGGCAAAGCCGAAAGAGGCAAGCCATGGTACACGATGAAGGTCAGCATGGTGAGGAACACAGCGCTTGCACAAACGGCACTGATGGCCGACAACTCCACCTGCGCAGGCATTGGGCGGTGGGGCCTCAAGATAATATGCTATATATATATATATATACACACACACTTTATAACCGCATGCATCCCTTAACCAACAAATTCGGTACCCATGGTTTTGGCAACCGGAGGCCAAAAATGACAAGGCCAGACCCGCTTACCACTGAAAATCGAAAACCATGGATTTGCGGGGGGATTAGGTTTCAGAAAAAAAAACCGCAACAGTCTGTTGAGTGTTGAGAGTTCGGAGATGCTCCGTAAATTGTCCATGTACCCGCGTAGATTAGATTCTGCGGACTATAGGGCGGTATAGAACTCAGTAGAGGGTTTGGAGGAGAGTCCAGGTTTCATATATAGCAAGAAATCAATTTTGTCGTTGTGCCTCGAATCTTTATCGCTTCGTCACAGAAGAAATGCTTAACACAAGAACTCAAACCCAAGAGCGTGCACCCTTAAAGCACAACTTTAAGTGTTGTTTTGAATCCTTTCTCATAGGTGCTGCTTGCGGCGGCTGCTTTAAGGTTTTTTTTAAAGTGCATCGGACTTTTGATTCCTCGCCAGCCCGCCTTAATCAGGCGTGGGAGGCCACACAACTCAAAAGACGCTTTAAGGTTTTTAGGGATTTTAGTCCAATGATAAAAGACTTGCAGCAGGAGTAGTCCGATTCTCCGGGCTTTGGTTGCCGCAGGCTCCCAAGTGGAGCAACCTCACAGACCCTCAAGAGTCAAAGGGCTATATAATGGCTATATAATGGGTATATAATAGCTATATTAAGGGTATATACCTAGGGGTCCTTATTAAGGGTCCCTCCTCTTCCCTTTGAAAGAGCGGAACACTGAGGAATAGTTCCTTCAGTACCCCGGCGATTTGACGGGGTTGCGGCCATCGCAGCCTCCAATTAGGGGAGAACACATAAGATCCAAAATGAAGGGGCTACCCTAGTCTTCGCCTGAACATTCTGACAGAAACGAATGGACTCGACGGTTGCGGATGTTGGCGTAAACACCCCACATCAAGCCCTAAACCCTAAATCCCAACAGCCCTAAAACCCTAAAGCCCTATTACAAAGCCCCACAGCCTTACACAGCCCTAAACCGTAAAGCCAACCCCTAAACTTAAACCCTAAAGCCCTAAAACCCCCCTTTAAAGTCCTAAAACACAGGAGTCCCAGACCATCCTTGCAGCCTACTTGTCGGGTATCCTGGGAAACTAATGATTAACCTTTTTGGCTATATAGGGATAGGGTTTAGGGTTTAGGGTTTAGGGAATATATAGGGCCTATACTACCCACAAAAAAATGAAAGGTTCCCTACCCCACTACTAGGGCAGACTTTCGATGGTGACAGGCACCTGCCAGTAGCTCTGCACAGCATCCCAGATGACGCCCGCGACCACCTCAGCTAAAGCAAGGACTAAGTCTGTATCGATAAACCCTAAACCGCCGCCAAAAGTACGTAGAATGATAGCCGTTTACAGGTGTTGCGCCATGATTTTACCTGCAATTGGGGGGGGGGTGGGAACCCCTAAAGGGTCTAGGAAGGCTCAAAGCGAAATGCTCAAAGACCCTGAGTTGTAAACCCAGGGTTTCGGACTGCGTGCCTGAAGAGCTGTCTGTTACTTAGGGTAATTAAGAAACACCGCGACCCAGGTGTGTTGCTCCAGGATGAAGACGAATCTTCTGTCGGATGGGGAAGCTCCGGCGTTTAGGGGAGTTTAGGATTTAGGGCCAGGGGCCGGTTGAAAGCGCTCCTTATCAAAGTAAGCTGCTACTAGCAATCATATCTTATTCGGGGCCATGTTTCACCGGAGCGCTCTGACCCTGTATGGGAAGCCTGTAAGCTCCAGAATGCAGGGGTGCAAGTACCCAAGAACCCTTCACCCCCCCGCACCGGAATACAATCCGAAAAGTCCTAAGCCGAAGTAATATAGGGTTAGTAAGGTTTTGGGGCCCAGTATATTACAGTTGTAACTACAGTAGGTAGTTATTAAGACCTCTATATTACATTTGCCAAGCGACAGGAACGAAGAGCATGACGTCCAACTGAATGGCCTGCCTGAATTCAGAAGTTTAAGGTTCAATTCTTCTAAAGTCTTCATTCTGCTGAGTTGAAACCCACGCAGTGATGGACTTCCGTTAAATGGGGGAGGGGGGGGGGGTCTCCAAACCCTAAATGTTAAACCCCACACCCCAAACCCGGGTCGACGCGAGGCTACAACAGTTCGGGCCTATGGAAGGGGCCCAACCTGCCCAAAGAGTCCTGAGTACCCACATGGGGGATACTTGCCCAAACTGTACTTTCTATTAGCCTATCATAGAAACCCTAAGCTCTACCATATACATGCTAAAACAGTAGTTCCCATTGTACAAACCCTACATTCCGGCGTTTTACCAGCTGGATACTTAGGACCCTTTGGGCTCGAACGGCCGTCACATTGCAAAGGAGCAACCCTTCAGACAACCTTCGGTTTGACGGTAGCAATGCCAGATCTAAGACCATCCCACTTATACAGATTCATCTACTACTTACATGTTCACATACATATACCGTATGTATTTGTACACATAGAGTACATGTACATGCACATTCATACATCATATAATACAGGGTGTGTATGTATGTACGTAGGTCTGTGGTTTTTATTTGCTGGACTCATTACCGGCTCATCTGATGCGATGGCGCGGGGCTCCTTGCCGCTTGTACAATATCGGCCGGGTTCGTTTTCGGGCTTTGTGCTGAGGGTCAAGGTTGGCTGCAGCCGTATATCATAAAGCACTCAATCCGCGGAAAACGTGATCAAATTGAAGGCAGTCAGCATGGACCTAAGAAGCCTAGGAAGACTGCGAAGATGCCCAGAAGCAACCTTTCCCAGCCCTAGAAAGAGCCCAATAAAATACCTGAAGGGACTCAACGATTTATTTATACCTTTATTCAGTCTGTTTATCTGATAAAACTACTCAAATCCGTTTTTGATTAGAAGTAAGTTAGTCTTATGGTAACCCTTCCAGCACCTCATGTTGAAGCGCACCAAGGCTGGATTCGACTTGTCTCCGGCGATGGCTTGCATGCCGAAGAAGATGGTGAGGAAGCCTGCTTCCCAGACCCCCGGGAGGATCCACAAAGTAGATCCCTTAATAGGGGTTCCTATGAAGTACCTTTAGTAATTCGTATAGGTCCCCCGAATTAGGGATCTACTTTCTAGATCCTCCCAAAGGTCTGGGTTGGGGAGTACGGTTTAGGGTTTAGGCTTTAGGGTTTGGGGTTTAGGGCTTGGGGTGTATAGTACCCTCAACAGCAGGATCCTGATTATAAGGACCCCCAAAATCAGGTACCCCTAATTTTCGAAAACTCCCACATTAGACACCAAGAGATACTGTGTACCTAACCCCCCCCCCCCCCCAAAGTAGGTAACATAATGGCCCAATACCCATAGAAGGCTGTTCTTCTGAATACTTTTGGGGTCCAGGATGAGAGCTGAGGGTCTATACCCAGAATTCAGGGAGGATCTAGAAAACCTAATTTGGGGACCTATACTACTAAGGGTACTTTATAGGAACCCCCATTAAGGGATCTACTTTTTGGAGCCTCCCGGGCGTCTGGGTAGGGCTCAGGGGGTCGGGTTGAAGATTTAACATTAAGGCTTTGCATGCCGTACTGTTTGGGGATAAGGGCTTAGGGTTTAGAGTTTGAGCCTTGGGTTACCTACAGATCATGTTCCTTCCCAGAGAGTCTCTCTCCAAATTCCTCCTTGGGTCGCCCTGGAGCCCATAGCAGCGAAAAAACCCCGATGGCCCCATAGTGCCTCTGTATGTAGGAACCCTCATCGTAACTACATGCAGCTACTATAGATCCTTTAAAGGAGCCCTTATCACCTACGCCCTGAACGATTTCTACCAACAGAGCCTTATGAGGTCGATATGCATAAGGGAACCTACAGACTAGCAATTGGGGTTCCTCTGTCCGGATGGGGGGTTTCATATAGGGTTTAGGCTGGCTTTTTTGGTGTTCTTAGAATGGTCATTATAAGGGTGGATTTAGGCTTTGGGGTGTAATCAGCGTGGGGCAGCAGGGTCGCGTTTCAGGATTTATACGCCTGGTTTCGGGGTACGGAGGTCAAAGTAATTAATCCAGAGAATGTCGGAAATCGCAGCTTGCCTAAGCCGTACGGAATGGCGTTGATGACGCCCATCGGGGCCTGGCAACGGCCAATGCTAGTGAGCTAGCGGCTATTACCACCTGCGAGTGAGGAGCAAAGGGAACAACAGCTACAGACGTGAAGGCATGAGCCCTCCCCTAAACCCTCAGCTCGACGTATCCCCTGAACCCCCGGCACCACTGCAATGCAACATACGTACAAGCCCGCTCTGTTTCAAAACACGCTACAAGACACTGTCTTTCTGATAAACATCTTTTCCCTTAAGTAACCCAACACAACCCATGCACCCACCCACGACCTTGAACGCTGTCTAGCAAGACTTAAACGCGAAACCTTAAACCCTGAACCGTAATCCGCAAGCCCCGAACCTTAAATCCTGAACCCCAAACCCTAAACCCAAACCACTGAACCCTAACACTACTACCCTAAACCCTAAACCCTAAACCCCAAGTCCCTAAACCCTAAAACCCCTAAACCCAAATACTGAAAACCAGTAACACTGAACCGCCAACCCTAACATGCAGAGAGCTCCATAAGCGCAGAGAACACGGGCAATAGCTCCGGCTTCAGGACGCACAGCTGCACTCCGAAGCCTCGGAAGTGACTACTTTCAGGGGTTTAGGGTTTAGGGTTTCAGGGTTTAGGGTTTTAGGGTTTTAGGGTTTAGGGTTGAGGGTTTCAGGGTTTAGGGTTTAGGGTTTTAGGGTTTAGGGTTTTAGGGTTTAGGGTTGAGGGTTTTAGGGTTTAGGGTTTAGGGTTTAGGGACCTTAATAGGAACCGACTTCCTTCATTTTAAGGAGGTTGCTATAGGTTTAGTGTAGGAGCCTAGTGAGTAGGCTGTAGGGCAACCGGGTTTGCGGCTTAGGGTATGGCTTTGGGTGTCGGGCTTAGGGCGTAAGGCTTATTGGGGTCAGTTTTGTTTTTCGTGGGCTGAATGATTAGAAAAGGGTGTTACAGGGTTTAGTGTAGGAGCCTTAATGACCAGAAGAACGTCCGGGGCTATGCAATACCAAAGCTATGTAAGAACTAATTAAATGGGTCTTCTTACAAGGTGCTAACCCAAGTAATTAGCATTCGCTGGAGTTTGGGATCTAGCTGCATGCCCTGAGCTACTATTGATACTCAGTTTTTTCGGATTCACTGATGCGGGGTTGTGGAATAAAGCTAGAATGCCCAGTAAGCTAGGAAAAAAAGGCTGCCTTCTTGGTATTGGGTAACTTTGTAAGGAACCTAGGACTACAAAAAGGGAATAAGGGTACTACTGGGCATCCTAGAAAGAAACTGCAGTTCAGGCTGTAGTCAGCGAGCAATCGACAACTCGATAGCAAAGAAACGAAAAAGCACGCCTCTAAACCCTGAAGCACAAATCCAAAACCCTAAACCCGAGGTCCTATAAGTCCCAAAACCATATGCCCCATCTCCTGCCCGTCGCTGAGACCCGTACCTCAGCCCCGGTTTCTAAGACTGGTTCAGGATTTAAGTAAAGCGTCTTGCCTGTAGGCTGTATAGTGAATACCGGAAAGTCAGTTGGAACATTGATTTAGCATGTTTTGTGCTTGGATTTCCTTTACTTACCTTAAGGGCATGAGGATACTGATGTTCCAACTTTCTGGCTTCTACTGTAGGGTCTCGGCCAACCATGCCCTGCCTGTTTTGTAATTAGTTTTCACTTTGAAAGTCTCTTGAGCCCAGCATAGCTCAATCATAACCAGAGACACGCCTAGCAGAAGCCTGACATATCCTTTAGGTACTGCCCCCTTACAGTAAGAGTCTATAGTAGGGCTACCATTAAGGTCTTCGTGTATCTGTATTATGAATATTGTTCAACTATTACTGAGTGGGGGCCGTACCCAACATATCCTCCCAAAACTCGGCCCACAAGCCAAAACCGTAATGCAGGGGTCGGAACATGATGTGTTGATTGTAACCGCTGATAGTCATTAGCATGACCATACTGTTGATGGACAAAACCCTGCATGACCCTAAGGACTCTAAACTGTGGGAACTATGGTATATTCCCTATAAAGGGTAATGCAGAATTTCGTCCATCAGCAGTATGGGTAGTTGTCAAAATTAGGGTCCCTAATTGGGTACCCTAAATAATAGGTGCCGTACTATAATAAGGACCCAAAAGAGGACCATAACTTTGATAACCACCGAGATCCTCCCCACATTCAACCTCTTGTCTCCGAGACGCGGCTGGCATCCAGCAGGGGCAGGAGGTAGGCAGAGGCAGCCAAGAGTCGTGTTGGGAGACTGGTGTCCTACCGACAGCATGAGAGGTTTTGGGTCTGTGACGTAGAGCTTTTCAGGGATTTGGGGTTTGTCGTCGAAGAAGCTTTAGGGGGTTATAGGGTCATAAGATAAGGCTTTTGGATGCGGGAGCTTAGCGTTTAGGAGGATTTTAGGATTCAGGCCTGCAGGGTTTGGAGGTTCAAGGTTGGCGTTCAGGGGCGTGTGGGGAAGCAGGCTTTCGCAATACACTCGTGTGTTCGGATCTCAGCCCAGAATTCGGATTGGCACATTCACACTTCACACTTGCTTGGGGACTTCTTTTGGGGCACAGGATGGTGCTGTTCGGGTGTAGAGCAACTTCTGCTCTGGAAATGCACCCTACTGCCTTCCATTGCTCGCCTCCGTCAGCATATGTGGTGCCGACGAGAGTATTGCCATTACAACTGCACATACACGGAATGTAGAACTCGTCGACCCTACCTTCTGACAGGAAACACGCCTTGTTGCTAGCTTTGTCGCCTGTGGCACTTAGGTTGCCTGAGCCATGCTACACGCGAAATATTTTGATCTCTGGCCATTTACACACCCCATGCATTAAACACCACAAACGAAACCTGAATCCCCTCGCAGCCTCAGATACACCCCGATCGTATTCCACCGCAACTCAGCTCCTCAAGCCCAAACCCTGAACCCCAAACCCAGAAACCTTGTAGACTTTTAACAACACTTTGTATTGTTGATGGATCCCTCTCGAAAAGGACAGGAGCCCCCGAAGTTGCAAAGCCTCACCCGGAAAATAAACTCCTAAACTCTGCTTAGAGGCCCAGGGGACTTAGTTAGCAGGTTATAAGTAGGGGTGTAAGTACCCTAAATGGAGCTGCCCCAATTATAACCCTACTTATAACCTACTTACCAAGTCCCCTGGGCCTCCAAGTAAACCTTGAACACCGCCCAACCTCATGCTGTAAACCCATAAACCATACCGTAAAACCCTAAACCCTAGACCCTAAACCCCTCAAACCCTATACCCCTAAACCCTAAACCCTCCTAAGCCGTTATCGTAAGGGGCCTCATTTCGCTCTGGTAGGCTGGCCAGGTACTCTTCCTTCTCTTTCTCGGCCTGCTCCTCTCGCAGTTGGCATAGTATGGCTTAAAGCGTAGGGTTCCTTTGAAGGGTTCCTTTTCAAGGAGTCTAGAAGGATTACTGTAAGGGCTACTATAAGGATTTAATAATGTAGGGGCCTTTCTATTTAGAATAGGGTACGGTCCTTCATAGCATAGTTAGACGAAGAATGAATTTGGTAATTATTGAGGCTTTTGGTCTTAAAATGGCTTAGGGCCTATAGGGTCTGGCGTTTAGGCTTGGGCTGTATGGGTGTGTATAAGGTTTAGGGTTTTCAGGGTTTAGGACTCAAGGTTTTTGGCTTTGGGTGTGGGGTTTATAGTGTAGCTCGCGACTGGAACGAGGCAGCAACTGAAGCCTAAACTGCAACGGCTTTCGGTGGTAGCTCGACTCATATCCATTCACATTCAAACGGAAGGTGCCTCGGGCTCCAAAGGGATCCTCAACATGATTGAAAGCATTTCGGGGGGGGGGGGTTATGGAGTTTGGGGTGTATATGCCTTTGTTCAATCGCTTCTGGCATGGAGGGCTTTTGGGCTTTTTTCGAGCCAGCGACGGCATGGGGGTTAGCGCCTCGGGTGCAGGGGGTTCAGTAGGCTTTGGGCTTCGCGGCCTGATTAGGAGGTTTAATGAGCGAGGCTTCCCGGGTTCTGGTTCAACGGTTTGGGATGTGGGTCTACCAGGACCCCCAAAGGCCCTTTAATAGAGGGATATATTAGAGGGTAGTTGGGGGTCTATGTAACTTGTGTTTGACTGAAGGCTATGGTTTGGGCGGGCCCCATAGACACTGAGCCTCGAGGCACTCTGCCGGACGGATGAAGAACTACCGCGGCACAGTGGGACAAAGCTCCTCAACAATCCATAGGAACCTGATGAAGAAACCTTAGGTCTCTATTAGGGCTCCTTATATGGATCCTAATTTTTTGAGGTTATAGTACCGGGGTTTCTTAATCAGGCTCCGACATTAGAAACCTTGTAAATCCCAAACCTGCAGAAAAGGGCTGAAGATCACATAACACTGAAGCCTTAACCCAAACCCTAAACCCTAAAGCCAAACCGCCCGAACCTTAAACCTTCAAACCCTTAAGCCGTCGGGGGCGGAGGGGGGCGCCTTCTCGCGCTGCAGTGCCTCGATCTTCCTTCTCTCAGCCTCGGCTTCCATCTCCTGGAGTTTAGGGTTTGTCGTGTCATATGGGGCTCTACGCAGTGGCGGTCTTCTCGATCTTGTATGAGGTGTTGGGACGGTAACCCTAAGGGTCCATGTACCCAAATAGTATATACTTTGGCCTTAAAATAGTCCCTATGTCGGTACTTTGAGCCCGAAGTATATATAATTTGGGTACATGGACTCGTAGGGTAAGGATAAGAGTTCCTGATACGTTCCGTAGGACTAGGGTTCGGAGTTTGCTTGGTGCCTCGCCTGGCTCGCGGAAGACTTAAACTTAATGCTTATACGAGTATCCATGTCAAGGATTATGTCCAGATGTCACGGACGGGCCGATTGGCATGTCCTACTGGCGACATCACCAATAGAAGTCGTGGGTTTAGAGGCATGCAGCGTGAGTTTGAGGTATTCGACTGGCCCTCAAGCAGCAACCTTGCAAAGTCCAAGGTCAAAACACAAGTAGAAGTACTCTGCAAAGCTGCAAGTCCTAGTTTGCAACACTGAGCTCAGAGTGCCGTTAGTAACCACGGCGCTGGGTGCGAAAAGCCACGGCGCAAACTGTCTGGAAGTTTGCCTTGTGTACTTGTGCTCCCTGCTGTCACACTTTACAACATGTGCTGTTGTCTATCGGACATATCGACACCGATGCCCCGGTCGATCTACCTGTGTGAAAACCCGAATCTACAACACACGCATGATCGGCCCAAACACACACACACACACCACAAACAGGTACACACAGGTACACACACTCATATTTATACATATATATATAATATGTGTATATGTATATATATATATATATACATATATATATATATACACACACACATACCTACACACATGTATAGCGTACGTGCGGCACTAGTGCAATCAATGGGTGGAACTCTGTGTGTGTGTGTGTATAGAAATGTCCCTGGTCGGCCGCGGTAAGCCGCCCATAGCCGCCCTCCTCATCGCGGAACTCTTGGAGCTTCTTCTCCACGCCTTGGAAGATGATGGTATAAGCGTCTACAGTACGCTCCATAAAGTTGGAAACCAGATGAAGGCCAGCAATTTGCCACAAGGCTCCATGCATGGGCTCCTTTTAAGGGTACCATTGGGGTTTGGGGTATTTGGGGTATGTATAGGTCCATGTACCTATAAATATAGTATAGTATTAGGTCTCAAAAGGCCTGCTACATAGGTACTTTAAGGCCTGTGTATGTGTATAGTTAGATCGACAGATAGATAGACGGATAACTGTATGCCTAGAGTCTCCAGGGTAGTTCGTTTGTTGGGTTACCGTATGGATTCCTAAACATAAAACTGCTTCTTGAAAGAAAACAATGAACTGCAAAGGAGACTACGGGCAAAGGCTTAGGCTTAGTCAAGAGGACATAGCTTCGAACAAATTTGCCTCAGGAAACAGGAGCAGAAGTGATGGTATCGGTAGCCTTTGTGGCAAGATGGACATGTAGTAGTACCGCGGACCAGCATTGCATCACCAACATTAACGCGTTTTACTCGGTCACGACTATCCCTAGGGCTCCATGTGCCCATATAGTGTGTACTTAGGCCTTAAAGGGGTCCCTATATAGGTACTTTAAGGCCTAAGTATATACTATATGGGTACATGGAGCTTTAGGGTATTTGAAAAGACTGTTTACAAGCTCAAAGGATCCGTGGTTTGTCCTAAACCCTTCCAGATTTTCCGAGGGAGGCTTCTTCAGACCAGCAGCGGTTCAAGCAGAACTCCTCGCATGTGACAGGCTGGGGCTTCAATCAGAAGATGGACTGAACTCTGACTACTACTACGATTACTTAGAAGCTGCCCCCACCCTGTAAGAGTGACTATAAGGACTATCATAGGGACCTATTATACCACTATTACAGGGTGGGGGCAGCTTCTAAACTTCTAAACGATTACGATTACTATTACTTGAGTGCTGAAGGTGATACTACGATTACTCCTTTCGTAGGAAGCGACTCCGATTGCGCTTCTCACTTTGGTTGATTACTACTCGGCTCGCGGCATTCATGTCGGATTTGGAATGTCATCATGCCTATGAGCGCGACTACGAGTATCCACAACACCAGGCAATGGAAAATTCTCATTAGGCCAGGACTACATGGCAGTCGTCCCACGGATACCTGCCTCATTCAAAATCAGAAGGCTGTTGGTTGCTTCGCAATGAAAGAACCTTAAAACAAGAACAAAGAAAATTTCAAGCAGCACGCCCCCTGTCGTTGCCTGTGTGCTGTCTCTCAAGGAGGGACTGAAGGTCAACCTTTTGAATACAAGCCTGGATCCTTGTTAGGGAGTTTGATTTAAGCTACCAGAATCCATGCCAGACCCAAGATGACCTAACAAGCTCCCGCCCGCAGAGCCTGAACTTAAACTCATGTAGGCGGAGGCAATGGCGCATGCCGCATGATGAAGACTTCAGTAGCATGAACATTGAGAACGAGGCTATGCGTCCATGGGTCTACTTTGGCTAAACCTGAAACCTTAAACCTATAAACCCTCACAAACCAGGCGAAGGGCAGTCTCCGCGGTTCAAGAAGGCTTACATCGGTGGGGCCTAGCACATCAGATGCCAGCATCTTGGCCCTATACGGGCTAGGACCCAAGCCTTACCAAGCCCTAAATCCCGAACCCTAAACCCTAATCCCAAACTCTGATTTCTAAAATGCGACGGAGGCCCGAAGGGCTGGGTTCCGTTGCTCTCGAAGTCCGTTTCGAATCTAAGTTACAAGTACGTGCCAGAATAAGGAACCAACCCTATTGTAGGAATCTGGATGAGGACCGATAGGTACCCCTGAAGGAAACCGGATAGGGAGCATATCCAGCGGCGTTCGACTTCCAAAAGCCCCTGCCCATCCTCGTTCTGCAGCACGCCATCGCCGTTGTCGTCAAGAGCCTGCGATGAAGACCCTCACTCCGTCGAACCACCTGTGCTCTCCGCCCTCTCCCCAAACACTCGGAAGTTCTCTTAGGTCGAAGGGCTCGCAACTCTCACTCTCGCGCTGGTGACAATATGGCACCCCTCAATGTAAACGCTGATCAGTATAATCAAGCAGGAACTTGTTGCAGGCACCTCAAGCTGCGGAAACATGCACACACACACACACATACACACACTCGCACAGCTTCATGCCTAAATTCAAAGCTCGGAAAGGCTCGGACCCCACCCACCTGAGACCGTAGGTCATACTCACTGAAACCCGCTCAATCGGAAACAGCCTCAAGCCCTTAATCATCCTAAATCCAGTACCATCCTAGATCCCACACCATGTACAACAGCGCCTGAGCCTAGACTACACCTTAACCCCAAATAGCCAGCCTTGTAAAGGACTTATATATTGAACTGATAATAAGTGCCCTAAAAAGAAAGGTTTTATAGGATCCAGCCAAACCATGCTGGCCTTCAGAAGCCTCTTGGCCTTGTCGTCGTCGATCTCGACTTTGCATTCCTCGTGGGCTCTGGCTGTGTACTCTTCGGCTGGCGGGTTCACTATCTCTGGTTTACGGCCTAGGCGCTGAAACTTAGGTTTTAGGCGCTTGGCGTTGGGGTCGCAGTCCACAGCGAGGGGATCGGCGGCGAATCTCAAGACACCGTCGAACTTGGTGTAAATCTTTATGTGTAGATCTTGAGCTAGTGATACCACGCAGCAGCAACTAGCAGGGAGCAAGAAAGGGGGTTGCGCATCTTAGGACGAAAGCACCCAGAACCTAAACTTGTGATATTACTACCTGGGAATGTGAAAACTCGTCTTCTGCCTATGGGAGGTGCAGCATGACTCCCTCAGTGCGGCAGCGCGCCCCTGAACCTGCGCCCTTAACTCTCAACCTCAACCTCAGAGACTGAAAACCTTAACCCCACGACTCTACACCATGAACCCTTTCATGAAACCATAAAGTGATGGGCGGGCTCATTTCTCTGCCCTGCGGTTTGCTCTCTCTCTACCCTAACTCCCGAATCCTGAAGCTCTCACTCCGAATTCCCCGCAACTCTAACTACTAAATCCGAAACCATACAGATACCTATACCTTAGACTCCACGAAATTCCTTTATTCCACCTATGTCCCGTTTTCTAGGATCTCATAAAATGGATTTTGGTGAACCCCAAACCTAGACCCTCCGTCTACCCTCTATTAGACCCTAAATGCCCCTTATTTGGGACCATATACCCCTATTTGAGGGTACAAGGAGGGTCCTGGTACAAGATACTATTAACTATTATGGAATTAGGTCCCCAAAACCATAATGGGGATGGTTTTTTTACCCGATACCCCTTGGATTTTGGTGAATCCCAAAAAGGAACTACAATGGAGACTGCAAGGAAGCCTGGGACTGCCTTGGTCTTTCACCCAGACCCCCGGAAGGATCTAGAAAGTAGATCCCCTAATATGGGGCCCTATACTACTAAGGGTATTTTATCGGAAACCCCATTAAGGGATCTACTTTTTGGATCCTCCCGGGGTGCGGGTAAGTACTAAATCCTTCCCTGGCCTCCTTGAGGCCAATCTTCAGCTCCTGGTCCCAGGGTTTATGCGTTTAAAAGGGTTCATTGAAGGTTCATAAAAAGTTCTTTAACAGGGATCTATAAGGGCTCTATACCGGGGGTTTTTGGGGTTACTTGGAGGCTAAGGGAACTGAGTTGGCTATAAGTAGGGTTATACTATAATTGGGGCAGCTCCATTTAGGGTACTTAAAACTCTGCGTATGACCTTTACTGACCAACTATATAAGTCCTCTGGGCCTCTAGAGTACGCCTCAGGGTTTATACCATTTATGCGGGTCTGTAGGGTGTATTTTTTTGCCGGCTCAAGGCTTGTAATGGCTTCTGTTCAGGGCTTCCGGGTAGGTTTTGGGTTCGGGCGGGTGAGGGGTAGGGTTCAGAGCTTGACATTTGGGGTTTCGGGATTTATAAGGCTGTGTGGAGGGCTCATGAGCCTGAAAAGGGTGTGTAAGCGCTCCATATTCTTTGTCGAGTTTGAAGTTGTGGTTTGGGGCTCTGCGGTTTTATAGGCTTGACATGGCCTTTCCAAGTGATAGGTTCCTTGTCATAAGGACATCCACAGCAGTGGCTTCGATGTTTCTGCATTATCTCTAGTTGTAAAACGATGGATCCAAGCAGCTGAAAACATTGGCAGGGGTCAAACTTCCCGCCAATTTTCTCAAAATTTTGCCCATATAGATGCCATAGGAAGTTTAAGAGACTTTGAGGAAATATCAGCCTGGCAGCATTTTCGCAACCTCAGATGTGAAAATAGCGGCAGCTAAATTTCACCACCAAATCCTGAAGGTGAAACGCGAAAACGTTTGTAGGGATCAAAGTTGCCCAAAATTCCGAAACTCTGAGCAACTATCTGCCCCGGCACTCCGCACTCCGCACAGATGCCAGGATTTTCGCAAGTTTGGGGAAATTTGATCCGGGTAGGCACGGTATAAATACTGTCATGGCATGTGTTTCTTGCAGGTATCAGCAAAGCCCTCATCAGCGCGGGCTTCGGGATGCTGCGCGCAGCGGAAAGCCCGACCTGCCTACCCCAACAACAAGCCAGGTTATATAGGGGCCTTAATAGTTAATTAGAATGGGGTTTCCATGACACAAATCGACACAAACACCAACAAGTCCATACAGGTTCGCTATCTACGCGAAAAGGCTATGTCTGTCCCGGTCCCATATCACGCCTTTTGTGCAGTTAAAGAGAACATAGAAAGCTCTGAACTCGAAAACTAACTTTAATACTGAGATCGACGCCCCAAAGCCCTCATCAACTCTGGCGCCTGCTCATCCAGCGTCCCGGAGGCATCCAAGTCCCAGGAGCGAAACAGGGCTTCGCGCTTGCGCCTGGAATATATATATATATATATATATATATATATATATATATATATATACGCACACACATACACGTACAATAATTAACATATACACAAACACACGTATGTCTACATGTATATATATATATATTTACATGCTCCTGTATGTAATTGCATATCCTGCGAAGAAGTATAGATCAAAGGATGAAGAGACACAAGTGACATACGTATAGCTAAGGAATAACTAAATTCAACAGATAAAAAGGGAGCGAGAGAGAGAGTGAGAGAGAGAGAGATGTATATATGTATATATTTATATATGTATATATGTATATATGTATATATGTATATATGTATATGTATATATATATATATATATATATGTATATATATATATATATATGTATATATATATATATATATATATATACATATGTGTATCAGCTCTCAATCGGCTCAGCCTTTCGGCTGAAGGCGACTTAGGACTGATAAACTCGGAGTTTGGGGTTGAGTCGCGGGAGAGAAGTCCTGAAGCCATATTCTTGCCGAGCCAGCCGTTGAAACCTTCAACAAAACAGACGGGGTGGGTGGGGGGGGGGGGGGAGGAAGAAGGGAAGCCGGGCAAGTCTTCGTACACATACCTAAAACCCCCAAAGACGGTAAACTGATGGCCCAATACCCGTGCAAGGCGATTCTTCTACATACTTTGGGGGGTCCAGATAATGATGCAGAAAGTCAGGGCATTCAAGCAACGAACGTTCGGCGAGGAACTCGGAATGTTCGGATGAAAGCCTGCATCGGTTCACAAAACGGGCATCAAGGGCAAGGGTTAGGCTCAATATCAGTCCTCGTTTTTCAACCAACAAACCTCGAAACCCCAAAGGCTTAGTAACCAACCGTCCATCATCATCCGGGGTTTACTTGTTTCGGATTTAGGGTTTGGGGGTTTAGGGGTTTATATAGGGGTTTAGGGGTTCAGGGTTATCACCATCATCGTCATCGTCACTTGACTTGACCTCTGAACATATGAGCAGACAAATCTTGCCAAAGGCCAGGAAATGCAGAACCTCTCTAGTCTACCAACCCTGGATCACATTGCGGCATGAACCTTCCAATCGAAAGGCTATCCGAAGGCCTAAACCCCTTATGTACTTCACACCCCGAGACGCACATCTCGGACATGCTGGCCTCTCTTCCTCCTGCTGAACGGCCTGTCGTTGCATCCATGTTGATGCGTGTTGGGCTTAGGGTGTGCCTTTAACTCAGTCCCAACGGAAGCCTACAACAGGCTAGTATCCGTCGGTCGCAATGAACATCGCTGCAATAATCAAAAACAGCAACCCAAAGGCTCCAAAGAATCAGGCGCCTTCTAGAAATTTGGGACCCCTAAAGTATCTACTAGATATACGGCTCTTGGTAGATATCTGCCCCCCCCCCCCCCTCACAAAATATACACATGTAACCCATATGTATTGTGCTCTTACTTGGGCCCTAAACCCTACACCCCTAAACCCTAACTCGTAAACCCAAAACCCCAAACCCTAAACCCTTTGGGAAAGAGCCGGGGGAGCCTCTAGCTGCAGCACATCCTCGCGCAACTTTGCGGCTTGAAGCTCCAGCCTCTGCAAAAGTCGCTAGATGGAGGCCCAGGGGACTTAGTAAGTTAATCGGGGTAACTCCATTTAGGGTACTTATAACCCTACCTATAAGCTACTTACTAACTCCCCTGGGCCTCTAAGTAGATGGGGTTTCGGGGTTTCGGGCTTATAGGGGTTAAGAGCTTAGGGTTCAGGATTCAGAGCTTGGGGTTTAGGGGTTTCGGGGTTTCGGGCTTATAGGGGTTAAGAGCTTAGGGTTCAGGATTCAGAGCTTAGGGTTTAGGGGTACAGGGTTTAGGGCTTATAAGGGTTAGGGTTTAGCAGTTCAAGGGTTGGGGTTTAGGGTTTCAAGGGTTTGAGGGTTTAGATTTAGGGCCTTTAGTGTTTAGGAGCCATACTTCCAGCATGATGAGGGCCATTATCGGCAAAGACTGACATAGCAGAGCATGTGGCACTCAAATATACCATGCTGTCATAAAAACCCTAAAACACTAAAGCCATAAAACCCTATAAACCCCAGAAGCCCTATAAGCCCTATAAAGCCGACACCTTTTCTGTCATATTCCGAACCGCAGATCGAGCTGGCTGCGTCGCCTTCGGATCTCCTCTGCCTCTTCCGTGTCATCCAGCGTGGCAACTACGACGGTCTTCTCCTTCGAGGGGTCATGAAACCCGTGCAGGCAGACCCAGCGATGCAAGAGAGAGAGAGAGAGATCTTGCGAGTGAATACTACGCAGAAACACAGATAGTGTCGGAGTGGAGAGATGTTGAGAAAACTCTTCCCAACACTCGAGCATGCAGCAAGCGCGATGGGGCTACCAGCGGAAGCACATGCAGGATGCACGAGCGACCTTGTCAATATCCCAAACCAATAGCTTGCCAACGACCGACCGAAGTGAACATACCAAATCAGGTCCTACACATACAGTCTGAGCTTTGAAGCCATTGAGTCTAAATAGCCAGACCTCATCACTCGTCATATTCTCGTAAAGCTGGAACCAACTCGCACCTTCACGGCTTGCTGCCGGCGGAAGACCTTGGGCAAGTCGTTTTTAACGGCCTGTAGTCGCCAAAGTAGTTCATGTTCTTGACTACCTCGTTTCTCTGTTCTGGGGTCCGAGTATCAAATATGCTCCACACAAAACTGGGTTCTTGTTAAGGAACTTAATTTAAGTTACCATAATAAGGAAACCCTATTATTTACGATAGATCCCTATTATGGTAACTTAAGTTAAGTTCCTTAACAAGAACCCAGAATATGCTCCACACAAAAAAAAGGCTCTACATCTTAGACCCCCCAGGCCCTGAAGCCCTAAACGTAATTTAAAACCCTAAACCCTAAACTCAACATCTAAACCCTACCTGTAGCCGGAAAGACCTACCTTTTTAGGGCTCCTTTTTTATGGTTTCTGTATATGGTTCCTTAAAAAGGTAGGTCTTTTCGGCTACAGGTAAGCCTTAAGCCCTAAAGCCCTATGCATTTCGACTCCGCCATAGTCCCGAGCCTTCAACTCCCGGGCTCCGCGGGCGCTTCGGGCCTGGCAGGAAGTTTTCCTACTTTGGGGCCTTTTTGGGGGCCTTTGGGGTTGAGGGCTTCAGAGGGTATTAGGGTTTAGGGCTTAAGGTTTTTTGGCCTTTGAGGCCTTTGGGGCTTCGGGCTTTAGGGGATTAGAGTTTAGAGTTTAACGGTTTAGGGTTTAGGGTTTAGGGCTTTTGGTTTAGGGGTTTAGAGCTTAAGGGCGTAGGCTTAGGGTTTAGGATTTTGAGGTTTAGGGTTTATATTGGGCCTTTGGGGCTTACCCGGAGGGTCCAAGTACCAATATACTAGGTACTTATATAGTCTATTTTTGGGCACTGAAAGTATATACCATCCTCTTACTGAAACCCTTTGGGTTAGGGTTTACTTTAACCCTGAAAAACCTACCGTTTCAGGGCCCCTTATTATGATTTCCTTGTGTAAGCACTTAAAAAGGTGGGTTATTCAGGTCAAGGTTTACGATTTTGGGGTTTAGGGTTTATTTAGGATCCAGGTCTCGAGTTTTCGGCTCGTTTCGGGGGCTTAGGGCGTAGAGTATTTGGGGCTGATGAATTCGTGTTTCCGGGCGTTGGGGTTGATAGCTTGTTGAACGAATGAGGCGTGCATGACAACTTAGCAGCCTTGTCATGCAGTCATGCATCTGCGAAAACCGGAGAATCCAAAGAATAGGAACACACCCGCCGTCAATGAATGAGCATGGTATAAAATATAAAAAACCTAAACCTAAAACCCAAAACCTTTCGTTTCAGATCTCCCGGCGTTGGGGTTCAGATCACCCTAAACCCTAAACCCCTGAACCCTAAACCCCTAAACCACAAAACCCCTAAACCACCAAACCCCTAAACCCTAAAACCCCAAACGCCTAAATCCCCAAACCCATAAACCCTAAAACCTCTAAACTCTAAAATGCTTCCGAGCCTTGGCTGCTGCCGGCCGCATCAGCGCCCGGGCACCAAGGGCCGCAGCTCCGATGCCAACGGCGGCCAAAGACGCGGAGGCACCGGAGGAGGAGGAGGGCTCCTGGCTACTCCAAGGGCCATTTTTACAAGGGTTAGATATAGGAGCATCCTGTTAGGGTTTAGGGCTTAGGGGTTTAGGCTTAGGGTTTGGGGGTTTAGGAGTTTAGGATTTAGGGTTTAGGGTGCTGCCATCCTACGCATAGGCCCCATAGTAGTTCCTTTTTGGGATTACCTGATAGAATTCTAAATATGAGCCCCGTAAAGGAACTACTATGGGGCCTATGGTAAAGGGCTATTGTAAGGATATAATATAGGGGCCTTAATAAGAGGCACCGGCGGAGGAAGGCTCCTGTGGCTTCCTGGTTTAGGGATCAGGGCTAGGATTTTCAGTTCAGGGTTATGCCACACATGGAAACACCCATGCTTGCACACAAACATGAGCACTCACACTGACTGTCTTTGCAAGTGCCCGGGGTTCTGCGCATAGTCATGTGTATGTGCACAGTTACTTTCTGCCGCTTCTTTTGTCTGCTCAAACCTTGAACCTGTACCCTGGATAAGTATAATGAACGGAAACACACATCAATCGAAGTACGACTTGTGACCCGCTCCCCAACTTAGGGCAATTTACCAATGTAGTACTTTACAGGTCGGCCGAGCGAACAAAATCCGGACGATGCACCTGGCTGCCGCGCAATGCACGGCCGGAAACAGCCTTGGGCGTGTTCTTGTCCAACGCCGGCTGGGGCGTCGCCTCTCTGTGGGATCAGCGATACGAAGTCATGAACACGACAAGCAAACCTGGGTGAAGACTTCGGACAAACCGTACAAAACAGTAGGTTAGGACCCCTGGTTTGGAAAGCATAGCTTTTAAAACAATGGTTTACGACCCCTTCATCATGGTGTGTACATACTAACACTTGAAAAAAACAACTTGTTGAAAATTTTGGATGCCCAAAGGAAAATTGAATCCCTAAACCCTAACCATAAACCCAAAACCCTAAACCCTATACCCTTTAACCCCAAATCCAAAGCCTTACCCTAAACCCAAAACCCTCGAAACCCCAAACCCTACACCCTTAAACCCCAGACCCCAAACCCAAAATCCTTAAACCCCAACCCCCAAACCCTACACCCTTAAACCCCAAACCCTTAATCCCCAAACTCAAACCCCTAAACCCCAAACCCCAAAACTCTAAGCCCAAAGGCCTACACCCTTACGGTAAACCCCAAACCCAAACGCCCGGCGCCTGGGGGGTCACCCTAAACCCTGCCCTAAACCCTAGAAATCCTACTCCCAAAACCCTGAACACAAGAAATCCTCATCCCCCAATCCCAAACCCGAGAAATACTCATCCCTAAACCCTAAGCCCTAGAAATCCTGATTCCCAAAACCCTAAACCCCAGAAATCCTAATCCCTAAACCCTAAACCCTAAGCCCTAATCCCAAAGCTACAGTAAACCCCCAAACCCAAAGCCCTACACCCTTAAACCCCAAACCCTCTAAGCCCAAATCCCTAAACCCTCGAAATCCTACTCCCAAAACCGAAAAAATAGAAATCCTAATCCCCCAATCCCAAACCCAAAGCCCTACACCCTTAAACCCCAAACCCTCTAAGCCCAAATCCCTACACCCTTACGGTAAATCCCAAAACCGAAAGCCCGGCGCCTGGGGAGTCACGAAAGCCTGGGGAGCTGAGGCTTCCAGCAGGAGCCGGGCTGCAATGAGCGCAGCGCCTGGCGGTGTAGCTGTTCGGGGGTTGAGGTTTATATAGGGCTTTAGGGTTTAGGTATAGGGTTTGGGGTTTAGTTAAGGATTTAGGCTTATAGGATTTAGGGTTTAGGTTTAGGGTTTGGGGTTCAGTTAAGGGTTCAGGTTTAGGGTTTAGGATTAGGGTTTGGGGTTTAGGTTTCGGTTTGGGGTCTAGTTAAGGATTTAGGTTTATACAGTTTAGGTTTAGGATTAGGGTTTGGGGTTTAGTTAAGTGTTCGGGTTTAGGGTTTAGGGTCGGGTTTACAATAAGGGTGTACAGGCTTTAGGGTTCAGGGTTTGGGGTTTAGGGTTTGGCTTTAGGGCTAAGGGTGTTGAGTTTAGGATCTAGGGTGGTGGGTTTAAGGAGAGCAAGATCTCTCTCACCGGTTGGCTTGACGAAGTTTCAGGGACATAAGCATCCTGAGCAGGGATGTTGTCGAAGAAAACATATTGAGTGCCTGCAACATACTGATGCCACTCGCAACAGACACTGCACAAGCTCCAATCGGACCAATCCAATGTTGCATCGGCTCAGACCATTGTGTCACAAGTGCGTCCGGCACGGCACACCCGAAAAAGGAACGCAGTTGGCCCTGCAACATGGTGACACCGCCTATCGTGTGCAGGTCGCTATCACTAGCACCGTCCGGGAAAAAAGGGACCACATGTTCAGCAACGCCACAGGGAAAATGGGGGTTTAGGGTTTCCGGTTTAAGGATGTAGGTTTTAGGGTTGTCTCTGAGGATTTAGGGCTTAGGGTTTTGGGATCTCAGGGTTTGGAGGACGAAGCCCATGATGGTGCGTAGCTAGACCTGAATTGCAGTACGTACATGCAGCTCCAAACTTTCAGCCATGAAAAATATTATGTTATGACCTGTGATTAGTGCATGAAACCCTATACCAATATATAAAAGCTGCAGGGTTTGGGATCGCCTGGTATAGTTTGGGGTGATTGTACTCATGAATACAGGCCTAACCATCCCAAGCTCTTTAGAACGTTAAGGGTCCATGTACCCAAACGGCATGTACTTTGGCTCTAAAATACTTAGGAACTACATGTAGGCCTAACCTAAACCCTAAACCTTAAACCCAGGGACATGGACCCCTTAGACCCATAAACCCCATGGTACCCTCATGGAACCCTTAAGGGAACCCCCCTTAAAGGATATCGGCACATGGACCCCTAGGGGAAGTAGCAGGGCCCTCCCTTGGAAGGAGGAACTTCCCGCCGGATTGTGTGCTGGCAGGCTGCACTATACTTAGAGTGGAAGGGGACTCAGTAACCAAAAATCCTTGAAGGGTTTAGGACCGGGCTCTTTAAACGGGACCTAGAAGGTTGCTACAAGGGGAAGGGGGAGTGCGGGTATAGCCCAGGCCGCAGCGGTTTTCTCGCCCAAGCCCTATACATACCCTACAACCCGTAAGCCTGGACTCTAAAACCTCTGTTCCTTATAAAGGGAACTCCAGAAAGTTGGAATATGGATTAATGGTAGGATCCCCTATAAAGGGGTTACGATAATGATATTCCGACTTTCTGGCTTCTACTGTAAAAAACCAAGCAAGGCCTGCGCTGGTGCTGAATCCACGAGAGTCCATTGCTAAAACCTCATGAGAGCTGTCGGGTGCTAGGGTTTAGGGTTTAAGGGTCCTAAACCCTAAACCCTAAATCCTTCGTTGCTTCAGACTTTCTCGGAAGGATCGAAACTGCACGGGAGGATTCTGAAAGGATACGAGGCATATTGAAATGCTTTGCATATAGGTCCTAAGAGATCCTTTGCTATGGAAATTTCCGTACCCTAGAATTTCTGTGCGTGCAGCTGCAAGATCTAGATTTAAGCGCGTTTTCGGGATTTCTGTGCGTGAGGTTTGACAACACTATAATCGGAGGTCTAGGCTTAAATAGTACTTATAGTTTTCGGGTTTATAGGGCTGGAGCTGAGGGTTTGGGAGGGATTTGCAAGCTAGGGTACATCTCACTCCAACCCTGACTACATCATCGAGCTCTTCGCGAAGTCGAGAGCCGCAACCTCAGCTCTTTTTTAGCGCCCAAGCTCACGGTCCCACACGTTGCGATAAACTTGCAAGCAAGCCCGAATTGTTCGGAATGCCACAGAAATTGTAGCCTGTCGCCTGCTGGTTCGGGCGCATTTGCCAATATAATCCTCGTCACTGAAGCAGCTATAGCCTTAGATCAATATATAGCTATTTATAATTATAACCCCATAAACAGCTATTATAAGAAGTCTAGCTAAAGGGCAGGCTAGGAACAAAGAGCGTTGAGAACGAAGCCGGATGGGTTGTCAAGCTGAAGTTCCATATCCCGCCTTGGGGGAAAGTACACTTGAGAAATTCAGCGGTACAAAGATTAATTTGTGGTTTCGTCGGGAACATATACATACTGCAACCGTGGTTCTGTAAGTGTAGCTGCATATGCAGCTTGGGTTTGACCCGGTACAGTGCGAAGCCCATTTGATTGCACATCGTCGCAAGTGCACTGTACCCCTCCTGGTTGGCTCACTTCACATTATATAACATTAATTATTACATAGCTAGGGCTTGCAGGGTTTAGGATCATTAAGGGCTTACTACAGCTAAAAACAAATAATGACCCTCAAATCAGGTGGCTGTCATGCCATAACCGAAGGCGACGTATTTGACGGCGAAAGGTCGAGTAGGGATCCAAATTCCGTGCCGATAGAGCCCTCGATAGAACAAGTTCGTGTTCTGCACGGTCCACTGAAGCACCCGGAGGACATCTCGGTACTTTGCATCCTTAACAACAGTTGCAATATACATTCTACAAATACATGCAGAGCGTCAAACCTACTTAGGTATTATATATGCTGCCAAGTAGCCACTGACTCAAGAGCGACTCCCTGCAAGAAGCTATCCAGCCACATGAGCAGCACGATTGTGTCAAATCCCTTGCCCACACCCGAAGGATATGTCGCTAGCCTCGACAGCAGTCTGCAAGCTCAATTTATGTAAGGGCCAAATCTAGACAGGCATATACATATATATATATATAATATATAATGCAGGGTGCTATATATATATATATATATGTATACTATATAGGGTATACATATATATATATATAGCACCCTGCATTATATATTATATAGGCTTTGCGACATACCCTATAGGCCCTAGGCCATACTGTAATTAAGTCGCAGAACCTAGCTCAAGCCTTTAAACACCATTAGGTCTGGTCGCGACTTCATCTTCAGCTTCTTCATCGTCAGGCTGGTCAAGCTTGTAGGCTTTCGATTCTGCAAGCACCAGGTTTTGAAGTTCATATACATGACAGCTAGTCTGGCATTCAGAGACCGACCAGGTGCTAGACCCATGTGGCATAGCAGGATGCAAGAAGAGGTGGCCAGCGTAGACCCGAAGCCTTGAATTGCATACGTATGTGCTGGGTCAATCCTGATTCTCCAGGCCGAGTTTCCACCAGGAATTGAACGTAAAGGGCTGTAGATGCGTACCTTCCACGGGGCTGGTCCAGGAGCCTCCGGGTCCCAGCTGCGAATTGCGGAAGTCTTTGATGTGTTGTACCAATCCTGACAATAGCTAGCTAGATTGCTTATCGCAGGTAAGTACACTAGAAATTATATTTGCATGTATATACTTATAAGATTATATAACAGCTACATAATAGAACATGGACCTATGCGTCCGGTCCTGCTGGTCGCATAAGTGGCACACACGTTTCGAGCTCCAGCCGGGGTACAAGGCATAGGCTTTGCGTAACCACACCCAGTCCCCCTTACCTCCCATGTAGGCAAAGTGAACCCTGTGGGTTTTGTCCATATACTCAACCTGAGTCGAATGCATGGAAAAGAACATATTATCTATTAACATACAGCATTACAACTATATAAGGTTGGTTTTCACCCCATGCCTCGACACCCTCATCAAAGAGTTTCTTGCAATCTGCGGCCAACTCTTCAAGCAGTTTGAAGATGCTAGCATCAGCAGGTGCGTAACACTGAGCCGGAAAGACTGTAAACAGCAGTCTGGAGCAGAAGCTGTGCCTTATATTGTTTACAAACCAGAGCAATATACTATCTGTCTTAAGTTAACTAATTATAATACGTATAGATTTCTAATATTGGAAACGAAACAATGGGCTTAAGGAAATTGAGGATCCCTGAGGAACTCAAACGGTGGGAGCCATAGTGACTATGAAGCCCTTGAAAGCTGATCGTGAGCAGCGGTTGTTTCATTCGTCCTCTTCCTTCATCTCCGTGAAGTAAATAAGGAACATATATTCCCAAATCATCTTCAACACTGAACACCTCGTGAGCTGGGTCGATGCCGCGGTATCGCGACCAGAACTGCCTCAACTGCTGTTTCCAGTCGGAGTCGTTATCCAGGTTGCACCCGGACAACAACATTTCGCCCCCCTGACTAAGCTCGTACTTTGCCCAGGAAGATAAATGCAATACCGGCCATAATACATCCTGTAGTTGTCTATCGCGAAGAGCACGGATAGGTACAGTGACTTGGGATAGTTGCACGGGCAGGGCGAGCTTCTCGTCTCGAGCTAATAGCCGGTGGAGGCCACGGCAAGCGTTGCCGTTCTTAGTCTTGCTGCGAGAGCAATCAGCCAACTTTTTCAGCAATGGGTCGCGTCCTTTAGGATTGGGTGCGATTGTTCCGGGGTTGGGCGTCATTGGCAAATAGTGTTATCCTTAAGTTTCTGTGCGGGTAGAGGTTTAGGGTTTATATATCACTTAGCAAGCTCGCTACCTAGCTAGGTTGGTTTGTTATAGGGTGGTTGGTAGGTTCGGTTGGCTCATGGTTGGTTAAGTCTTTGCTAGGCATACTTAACAACAGTCAGTTAGTTAGTTTAGGTTAGATATATAAGTTAGCTAGTTAGTTAGTTAGTTAGTTAGTTAGTTGTTATAGTTTGTTAGTTGTGGTAGTAACTAGCTAGTTATAGCTATTAGTTGTAGTTATATGACTATTATAATATATAAAGCTATTTACCCAACAACTAGACTGTACTTGCTATTTCGGGTTGATACATTCGGCAGTACTGGGATTTCCAGGCTTGGGACCTCGAATCGTACAATTTGCTAGGGTTAGATATAGATCGACGAAACCCATAATTGAGGCACAAAACCAGGCCTCCCGTCTTTGCTAGCTTCTTGGAAGCACATCGTGCCAAGCGATTCACTCGAGCACAGGAGTCAACCTAGGCTCATTATAAGATGCATCATGCAGGCGAACAACAGAGTACAGTAAAGCAGACGAGCAACACCCGCACCGATCCCTGCCAACAGCTCGGCGGCCAGGTCATCATCCGATGAATCTGGATCAGGAGGAGCCGGTCTGCCTGCAGGGGAAACTATTCTACATAGCAGTCCTCAATAGTTGTGGGAGATCTGTATGCATTATATAGTGGCTAAGATAAATTCAGACCAGCCACCATAAGCCCACTCTGCATCGGCCCCTGCGTGGGAAATTTGGCTGCACAGGCTTTCTAGACTCTAGACCACATGCACAACGACCATGCATGCATGTACTTGCATGAAAAGCACATATACGATTTTCGACCCGGCCGCTGCACAGCCTAGCTCTACAGCTACGTCAGATATAATTCGGAACCCCCATGGTCGATGTGCATTGCATGTGATCGTTGTTCGAAGTGCAAACACCGACCATCACTTCGTCTCTGCCGTCTTGCTTCGCACTCGCTTTGCAGGAGCGGCGGGCTCAGCTTCCGTCGAGGCCCGTCGTTTACCTCCCGACTTGGCCTTTGCCTTGGGTGTACTCTTGGGGGCGGCTTTCGGCGTAGCGGCAGGCGACGGCTTGACACTCCTCGGATGTTGAACAGGATCGTGAAAGTTCACACTGCTAGGTATAATGTAGACCAGCTGCCTTGCACGGATCGTGTAGTGGTTCAGGGCCAGGTCCTCCTTGGTTGCCTCCACGTACTTGGTCTTGATCTTCGCAACCAGCCTGCGTAAAATTTCGAAGCTGTCTGTTAAGTTTATTAATAGATGGGGCTCTGGGTCATAGCTAGAGGTTTTTATGGAGCTCACGGGATGAGAGACGGGGTGTATAATGCATGCAGATGGCTTGGTTCCGGATAGTGTAGCTAGGGCTAGGGTGTTAGTATATATATATATATAGGGATATATAGATTATGCACATATCTAGGGGACAGGATTCGGGGCCAGGTTTAGCCAAAATTAATGGGATTGGAATAACCTATATATATTAACTATGCACCTCGCGGTCTCGGCTTCATCAGAGCATGTGGCGGCGTCGGACTGGAGCTGCACCAGATCATCGTAGATAGTTTGGAGCTTGGAAAGGGAAGTCGTCACAGTACTTGCAACCCTAAGCTTGCGGAACAATTTTCGGATTTCTGCTAGTGGGTCACAGTCCAATTAATAGGTGCATCTCGATACTTTGCAAACAAGCATCGTCTTCGCCTTCGCCGTCCCGATAGCCTGCAGCCTCTCCTGCAAGCAATCCGTACGTAATCTTATACTAGATAATTATGCAAGAGACCCCTGCACTCCTTGGCCCCGTCTCCATTGTCCAGCTTTCGGCCAAGCACAGCCAAGAACTCTGCAAGGACCGTCATAGGGTCCGTAGTGGTTGTCATTGCCGGAAAGCATAGCCTGCATATGGGCTCACCACAGCGTGCAACGACCAGCCACAAGCAACACGTGCATTGCGTAAGATTAAGCTAGGCGACTTGAATGATCCACCCGTCTGACTTGCGGCAGGCGTGGAAGTTCCTTTGGAGCTCCCAGGATCGTCAGGACTGTCGGGAGCCAAATCACCCGACAAAATTGACAAGTCTTCATCCTCAGCTTATCAGAGACACAGCATCAGATCGCATATGTGTGCAGAGTTGTCAGTACTAGGTCAGAGAGAGAGAGAGAGAGAGAGAGAGAGAGATAGAGAGCGAGAACAGAAACAGAGAGAAAGCGAGAACGAGCGAGAGACAGAGAAGAAACGGTTGGCATAACCGCAGGAGTAGTGGCATCCATCTCAATCCCACCCGAAAACTGGATGCGACGGCCCGATCGGTTCTCGATGCTCCACATCTCTTCCAGCGGCAAGTCCGCCTTGCAAAGCCAGCACATCTAGAGATATATATGTATCTGTATAATATATATGTGTACATTCGAGCTTGCGTGCAGCTCGGGACTGGATCAAGTGCCAGCCTCTTCAGACTTGTGGACCTCGTTGGTCCGAAGTCGCCCTCGCTGGCGAGCCCATTCGAAACCATTATCGCACATAGTCCTAAGCTGGCAGTGATGGCATGGCATTATGCATGCTTGCAGTACGACGTGTATGCATACACATAAAACATACACAGGCGAGTTTACTTGCGTGTGCGTGTGTGCTTGCTAGCCTGCCACGTGATTTTTATGAATGTGCATATGGGTCGAGCAGTATGTGGTTGGGCGAGTGTTGGAGGGTGCGTGCTTATAAGTATGGGTATAGTTGCAGCCACAGGATCTTGTCCCAAGAGCGGTTCTCCATCAACCACTTTCGGGTCACATAGCCACCGCTCGTCTTGTTGCTCTTGATGCGTTCCGTCCACTGACTCACGATGCATTCGACATTCGAAAAGCTTCCGTGCTTCAAAAACAAGAGCCTCAATTTCTCTCCTGAGCTTGTCGGGGTGTGTTAGCTAGCATGCATGGGTGGTCTATATCATATATGTAAAGCCCGGGAACTTCCATCCTTTGAGTTTGCAAGCTCCATCACATCCTTGCCGCACTTGAGCTCGCCCCCCTTCTCGGGTGTCAGATAGCGACGGACCCTTGGCAGTGGCGGGGATCGGGGGTATAGGATTTCCAATGCTAGCTCGATCTGCATGTATATATATATATATGAATGCAGCAACGGCACTTCCAGTAGCCTTCGGTTTTGGGCGTCTTGGAAGCCACTGACTGTGCTCGTCTATTCTGGTTCAACGAGGAGGCAGGCACAAACCCTTTGCGTAGATTGATCTTTGTGGGGCTCGTCTTTGTGGGGCTCGTCTTTGTGGGGCTTGTCTTTGCAAAGGGGATCGTCTTTGTTTTGGGGCTCGTTTTTGCGGGGCTCGCCTTTGCGGTGCTTCCTTTTCCGTGGCTTTTGCAAGGGCTCAGTAGAAGACTTCTTGCGGGGCTTTGGGTCGCATCGGCTTCGGTCGGTGTCGGATGCTCGGTCATGCTCGGGGTCGGGGTCTGGGGGGGCGGCGTAGTGCCCTGGCCTTTGCCACGGTTGGATTTGGCGGGGGTCAACAAATCCACCTGTGCGGGGGCGAAGATCTCGAAGCTTGGTACCCGTTGGGTCGAAAGGTCAGCCTTGGACGATGCAGCCAGCATACGAAGCGTATCGCTTCTCTCCACAGACGGAGCTTCTGCTCCTACATGTTCCACGAAAACTGCATGCATGCATGGCATGGTATGCATGCATGGCGTGTACAATCCTCCAGCAGCAGCATCTTCTCGAGCATGATCAAGAATCTGGTTCAAATGGTGATTTGTCTCTTCAAGCCGGGCTTGTTGATGAAGCGATCTGTCCAGGGAAGACTGTAGTGCTTGAACCCGGGCTCGTGAAGCCTTGCAAGTACACATGCTCATGATGTGCAGATCGTTTTTGGTTTGTATATATTGCAGCCCTGCAACATTGATGCGAGCTTCAAGCTCCGCTTCAGTCATCGAATCCATATGGATCCGCCCCGAGCTGCACTGCAGCACCTACAGGCCTAGCCCACCCTGCGAAGCCCAAAATCTATGCGTTTGGAGCTGCGGAAACCAATATCCATGCGTTTCTTTGATTTCTATGAGCGATGAATTGGCTATAGTAATGTTTTTTAGTTTGCGTGCGTGTTGCGGGGATTTGCGTGCGTGTTGCGGGGATTTGCGGGCGTGTTGCGGGGCGGCCGGCCCCCACCAAAAATTTAAAAAACAAAAAACATGCGAAAATGTAAAAAACATGCGTGGTGTGATATTGGTTCCATGCAACCCCATGCTTCCGTCATGAAAACCATATAATCATCTGCGTGCACTTCAGAAGCCTGTAGAATGCCTGTGCATGCCACTCTCAGTCCTGGCTACGAGAGGAGCGAGACCTAGCCCAGACCTCCAAACCTCTCCTATCCCAGCTATGCCCGACCCTTTCTGAAACACCCTGGGCAGGAGCATGCCGTTTCTGCGACCCGCCAGCCAGCGGCCAGGTTGGATCGTCCGGAGTTGAAACTCGCGGGGCTCTCATTATTATAAGACCCCAGCACAAGCCTATATAAACCCGATCTATACTATACTATACTATACTATACTATACTATACTATACTAACTATACTACTACTACTACTACTACTACTACTACTACTACTACTACTACTACTACTACTACTACTACTATACTAGCTACTACTACTACTACTACTACTACTACTACTACTACTACTACTACTACTACTACTACTACTACTACTACTACTGTTACTACTACTACTACTACTACTATACTACTACTACTATTACTACTACTATACTACTACTATACTACTACTATACTACTACTACTACTACTACTACTACTACTACTACTACTACTACTACTACTACTACTACTACTACTACTACTACTACTACTACTACTATACTATATTGTACTATGCAAATACCATTACCATGTTTAATCACTATACATATACTGCTACTGCTACTACTACTACTACTACTACTACTACTACTACTACTACTGCTATACTATACTCTACACTGCCACCACGACCCTAAACCTTGCAAACCCATATAAGTTGCAGGAGCTCGGAACTGTAGAGCCCCAGAGTCTCTTGCTAGCTGGGTTTTGTCTTTCGAAAGAAGGCTTGCGGGTTTGGAGGTTCGGGGCTTGTGGATATAGCCTTAACCCAGGGCGTTAAGGCGGGCAAGGGATAGTAGTGCTTTTGCGTCTAGCTTTGGGGCTTAGGGCTTTTATTGCAAAGTGGCTGAGTTGAGATGGCACATACATACGAGTCTGAGAAGTGAAGATGATATCTAGCGGCACACACGTAGGAGCAAAAGAAGCACTGGCAGCAGCATTGGTGCAAGTACAGCAGAGTAGCAGCATAAGCAGATGTAGTAGTATAAGTAGGAGTAGTAGTAGTTGTAGTAGTAGTAGTAGTAGTAGTAGTTTTGTAATAATAGTATAGTAGTAGTAGCAGCAGTATATGGTCTAGTTGCAGCAGCAGCAGCAGCAGAAGCAGCAGCAGAAGAAGTCGTAGTCCGTGGCAGTATAGTATAGTGTTATATAGAGTGTAGTAGTAGTCGTAGTAGTAGTAGTAGTAGCAGTAGTGGCAGTAGTAGCATCAGTAGCAGTAGCAGAGTAGTAGTCGTGGCGGTGGTGGTAGTAGTATAGTATAGCAGTAGTAGCAGTAGCAGGAGTAGTATGTATAGTAGAAGGGGCAGCGGTAGTAGCAACAGCGT